ACCTTGCAAGAGCACAGGCAGGACAAATGTTGTTATTCCCATTTTAAAGATTTTATTTATTCATTTTTTTTCCCCCCAAAGCCCCAGTAGATAGTTGTATGTCATAGGTTCACATCCTTCTAGTTGCTGTACGTGGGACTCGGTCTCGCGTTGGACGGAGAAGTGGTGCCTCGGGGCGCTCCCGGGATCCGAACCCGGGCCGCCAGCATCAGAGCGCGCGCACTCAACCGCCAAGCCACGGAGCCGGCCCATTATTCCCATTTTAAAGATGAGGAAAGTAAGTCTCAGGGGAGCACAGTGTCTTGCTGAAGGGTCCTAGTGAGGGACAGAACCAATACTTGAATCTGAGTCCTCTGACACCTACCCCAGGATGTGCTATTTCACATTCAAACGAGTGACTCAGAGGCTTTAGAACTGAAAGAGCAGGGCCAGGTTGCTCTCTCCACTGGGGAGATGGCCCTCAAATATGAAAAAGGGGTGTTTCTAGCTGGATTCCTTCTGTCTCTTCTGCAAGCAGGTCCAGGGGCAGGGCAGAGGGAGGAGCTGCTCAGGCGGTGGACTCCGGCTTTCAGTAGAGGCTGGGATCACATCTCCTGTCCCACTCCAAACTAGTCGTCTGACAAGGCACAGGCATTCAACTGGACTCAAGCGTGTTCCTTCACAAAGACAGACATCTGCTTCCAGGATGCTTTGCTTTTGCTCTCTGGCTCCTGGAGCCTACTGAAGGCCTCAGGGCAGAGGAGCCTGTTCAGCCCTCTTCCTTTATTTTGGGCAAAAGCGTCGCCTTCCTTCTGTCTGACTCCCTTGCTCTTCACCTCCTTTCCCTTGTCCCTAGTCCCTATTCACAAAGTTCTGTCTGGGTGTAACCTGGATACCTCTTACTATAATTCCCGCTCCCCCTTTCATTTTCCGTCCTTAAGGAAGTTGGAAAACATTAGCTGGCCAGTCTCCATCCAGACCCTGTCTTGTACTTTTTCTAGTGCCAAATAACCATGCTGTAGGGATTCAGGGTCCTCACTAGGCTTGTGGGGCTAAGTTTAGGGCACCAAATGCCCTAACCAAGGTTGGGTTTAGGGAGAGTTGTCCACTCTTGTCTCCCTTCTTTGTTCCTGTTTCCACAACCCAGCTTTTGCTAGCTCGCCTGGTTTTCAAGCTGGCTTGACAACTGCTTTTCCACCAACTCGTGGTCCTCTGGGACCCTTCTGCACTTCTACTCACTCTGTACCCATGAGTCACTGAGCTGAGCTCTTGGGAACGGCTTCCACACCCGGGCTTCTGGGTTTCTGACTCACAAAAAGTCAGATGAATGGCTCTGGGGTATGAGAAACAGACACTGCATCTGGGGGTGGATACTCCACAGAAGCTCTAATGTCTCCCTGGAGAAACAAACCGCCCAGCTCCTTGTTGTACTGGCACACTGAGAGTAGCTGTGCAGATATGCACGGACCACCAAGTGGAAGGCACGTCCTGGACATACTGCCTGGTTGTTCTAAAGAAGGGCCAAGCAAAGCGTGGTAGATAGATCCCTTGGGACAGTCTGTGTCACCCAAGAATAGGACAGGGAGTGGGAGGGGTGCCAGGGTGATGACCTCTTTCATTAACTCTCAATCTTGCAACTCAACAGTGGAGGCTCTTCCTACTCACTAGTGTTGTGAGCAGCCCGAGTTTTCCTAAGTGGGCAACAATGAACTTGTTCATAATGCAGCTTTGTAAGTAGTCAGTCTCCTCCCAGACAAAGCCCAATCTGGAAAGCCCTCAACTTTATTACTTTGTGTGCACACAGGGGACACAGAGAGCCATGCACACAAGGCAGAGGGATACATAAAGTGACATCCAGACAGACAGACATGGACACATAGGCAGATGAAATGAATACACACATGTACACACACACAGAGGCACAAGCGTACAAACACACGAAAGCCAAAGAATGTTAGCACTAGAGGGAATCTTAAAAGTCATTTAAGAAATTTAACTCCCAGGGCCTGCCCTGTGGCTTAGCGGTTAAGTGCGCGCGCTCCGCTACTGGCGGCCTGGGTTCGGATCCCGCGTGTGCACCGACGCACCGCTTCTCCGGCCATGCTGAGGCTGCGTCCCACATACAGCAACTAGAAGGATGTGCAGCTATGACATACTGGGGCTTTGGGGGAAAAAAAGGAGGAGGATTGGCAATAGATGTTAGCTCAGAGCCGGTCTTCCTCAGCAAAAAAAAAAGGGAGGAGGATTAGGATAGATGTTAGCTCAGGGCTGATCTTCCTCACAAGAAAAATAAAAAAGAAATTTAGCTCCCTTATTTTACAGAGGAGGAAACTGCAGCCTAGAGAAGTGACGGGACTAGCCTAAGATTACATAGCTTGTTTTTCTTTCTTTCCTTCTGTGTCCTGAACTCTGACCTTTGCCCATGAGCTCAGCAGGACTGCTGTGCGCTGCTGGGGTCTAGCTCCCTGCACTGAGCCAATCTGGGGTGATCATGGAGCTCACTTTGTGAGTTTCCCTTCTGTGGATGATTGTACTTCCCTAAATGACCACAACAATATCTCCCATTCCCATGTTCTTCTTACAATGTGACTTCAACACTCCTCTCATCAATTGTGGGGTCTACATTCCCTCCTCTTGAACCTGAATGGGAGCTGGTGACTGCTCTAGCCAATGGAGTACAGCAGAAGTGATGCTATGCAACTTCCTAGTTTAGATCATAAAAAGGAGACAACTTCTGCTTCTCTGTCTCCCTTCTCTCTCTCTCTCTCAGAACATTCATCCTGGAGACCCAGCCCCCATCGCCCAAACTAGCCCTGGAGAGACCACGTGGATAAGCCCACCTGGAGAAGAACTGAGGCTCCCCCGTAGCTGACAGCCAGCATCAATGGACAGATAGTAAACAGCCTTCAGATGATTCCAACTCCAGATAGAGACAAGCTATCTTGATGTGAGACAAGCTATCCTGATGTGCCCTGTTTGAAATTCTGACCTACAAAGTCTGTGAACATAATAAATGGTTACTTTACCTCGCTAAATTTTGGGGTAATCTGTAATGTAGTCATAGTAACTGCAACATCGTCTCAGGAATTATAGCCCGTGCTGCCTATTGTTCAATGCTGAAAATAGTTGCCTTACATACTTTATCCTATGTTATTGTTGTAGGAGAGCTAGTCACCAAGCCAGGACTTTAATCTGAAGCTCTATTCTCTAAAATAATGATAAAGATAATAATAATAACAACCACATTGAGAGCAACTTCCTTTTACAGGCGGCTTTCTACGTACTAGGCATTGTGCTGGGCATTTTACATACATTATCTCAGTGAAACCACAGAACAATCTTGTGAAACAGGCATCATTAACCCCCACTGTACGGAGAAGAAAACAGATTCACAGACGTTAAATGACTGACCCATGGTTTGCACACAGGTCTGTCTGACACTGAAGCCCATGCAATTGACCATATACAGAAACACATATAGACATACTGAGACATACACACACACACACACACACACACACACACACACACACAATTTGCATAAATATACATATGCATGTACATGCATACACATTTAGAGACACATATCCATTACACATTTCCAGAGTTTTTTATGCTTTTAAAATATTTCTTGTTCCCAGAGTTTAAAATCCCCTTCTCCCAATTACATTAAATACGCTGAAAGAGACTCAATCTGCTAGATATTACGTTTCCCAAGCACACCCCAAGGTGAAATTCTCTCCATCTGGGGCCACCACAGGCACGGGCGGCAGAGATATTGTCTCTGTTCTCCTGCCAAAGATCACCTGAAACCCGGAGTTGGGGAGAGGTGGGGTGGGACTCTTAACAAGACTTGGCTTAGTAGACAGAAGCCTTCTCCTGGGGCCACGAGGACTCTGCACTTGATGTTGTAAGATAGTAAATTCAGAGAAACAAAGTGATTCTGGAATGTGCAAAAGCAGAGAGCACAAGCAAGGGACCAGTGCTTGGAAGGGGAGGGGCGAAGGAGTTTGCCTAGGACCCCCTTGTTGAAGCAGGGTCATTATCAGATATTCCAGAACAGCGGTGGGAGTTGGCTGATGGAAGGAAGAGCAATTCAGACAGGGCCCTCCTCATTCTGCAGGTTTCCCAAATCTCTTACCCTGTAAACAGTGGAGACCCCAGTCCTAATCTTGAGAAGAGCTAAGAACACAGACAGAGATGCTTCTTTGGGGGAAGAAAGAAATGATACTGGTGTATTACTACAATCACCTTTATGTAGAAAATAGACACCCCAAGTTGATCCCCACCCTGACCTTACAAAAGTTCCCCTTGTGCAACCTACAGCAAGCGATTGAGTCCAAAGGAGGAAAATGAAATGGGACATCTTTAAGGTTGACCTCCACCTCCCTGACCCCCTTTCTCAAGATCAGTCCTGAAGCACTGCTGAAAGCTCCTTAGAAGCAATCTTAAGAGTATACTATTCTTACTCATTTTACAGATGAAGAAACTAGTTCTGAGCTTGGGCGCTGACTTGCCCAAGCTGGTCAGCGGCAGCGCCAGCCCAGAAGCCAGTGCTGTGTCCTGTGCGCCGGGCCGGGGCCGGTCAGCAGTACCCTCTCCACCGCACCGATCTGGGGGCCTCCACAGCGTCCGACACTCACTCGGGGAGGGCTTGGGGCATCCAATGAATGAACTGCCAAATCTCCCCAGCCTAGGCGGGGAGGGACAGTGGCTCCGTGCCAAACTGGGGTGCAAGGGTTCCTTGTCTCTCAGCTCTTGCCTGTCTGTCCCATCTTGTCGCTCCCTCCTCCCCCGCGTCCAGGAAAATCAAAGTAGATCCGCGTGTCTGTGTGGTCTCAGCCCTGGCTCAGGGGAGAATGCTGCCCCAGGCTCTTTGTGTGCAAGTGTGAAGGGTGCGGAGGATAGGGGGAGGGTAACGCAGATTGTCAGCTCAGATGGGACCGCTGGGCCGCCTAACTGCAAAGTTCTGGCGGGTCTCAAGCACGCGGACCCCTCTCCGCCCCGCATACACCGCGTACCTCTGCCTCCCTGTGCAGCTCCTGGCCTATGCGCTCCGCCAGCTGGGCGTCCAGGCTGCCCCACAGCAGCAGCTGCAGGGCGCGCAGCAGGAGGCCGACACGCGCGGCCATCTCGCCGCAGCCCCTGCCGCGGGGCGCGGGGGCGTGGGGAGCTG